AAAGGAAGCTTAGATCATGAAGATCGAAGCTCAAAAAGCCAGAAAAATGAATGAGAAATTTGTTGCGGAAGGAGAGAGATGCTCTGATACCATATTAGATTAGTAAAGTAAGAGAGAGAAGTGAAATTGATAATTTCTCATTAAGCTGTAAAGTGTGTATACAATGCTATTTATACTCTATTTACAAGTGTATAATTATATACTCTAATATACCGCTTCACTAAAGAATTACATTGACAAAGCTTATAAGTCGATGGGAAATTGGCTGCCATCAAATTTCACACAAAAGCGGGGAAGATTCCTTATGTCGTCAATGTAGTTTTATAGTTTTGTAAATGCATTTCTGAACTAAATTGTCAAATGTTTAATTCACCCGGGCGTAGTCAGATTTTTTTCCTAGTGGTTCATAAAACTTTTTTTTTTTGTCATCTGCTACATCGTCATTAGTAATATTTTATTTATGTATACTACGTGCAACATATGATAGAATTACGAATTTACGATGAAGACTTTGTTATCATCATAAAGTCTATCTAATCCTACATCATAAAGCCTATTTACACACATTCAAGCGTGGATTATGATAGGCCAAATCGAACTCAAATTACTCTAGAGAAAAAAAGAAAAAAAACTGTAAGAATATTTTCATGCAAGGCCTGTTTAATTTGATGATGATACAATCTTGTCAAATTTGTGAGAAGATGCTTGGTATAGAAAACTTTAAGTGAAGTGTCCAATCATTTACTTACTTGTGTTTGTGTTGACACTCCAACTCGTCCATCAGGTCACACTCCAACCAACCTTCCAAAATTTTGTTAACTTGCTTTGTTTGTACCTTTGTTATCGGTATCTCTTTTCAACCACTCTTTTTGCCACTTTTTTTTTATACCAAAAAAAGTACACGACAAGAAGTTTCGGAGCTTAACATTTCCCTAGATTGGCGACTGAGATGGGTTTGTATCAAATTTAGGATCCTATTTCTTCTCTGCTCGAGCTAGAAAAGTAACAGACACAATCTAAGAAAAACTAGTTTCTACTGAATGAACTATATTGAATTTTCGACACTAGATAAATCCACACTGTTCTCATAATTTCGTTTTTAGTTTACTTATGGATTATCAATCAAATCCTACAAATTTGGTCCGGTGTGATTTCATTTTGTTATATGTTAGAATTAAACAAACAAAAACTAACCCAAAATATATGAAGATAAATTAAGATTAGTTACAAAACAGATATGAGTCACAATTGTAACCATTTCTTTATTTATATTTAAAGTAACTAATAGTCCAAACACTCACAGTCACCGCCCTCTTACGTTATCAATCAAAAGTGAAAATGGACCTATATCTACTCCTTAGCCGTCTATATAGTTGTCTCCTCTGAAAAAAAAAAAAGAAGAAGAGTAGATTCTCTTTTGTATGATTAACCATGGGAGGTGAAGTAATAAACCCAACCAAGCCACGGTTTGATCTAAGCATGTCAAAAAGAACTCGGAAACCATGGTCTAGTCTCATCAACGATACGCATCACCATGACATCTCCACGCAAAGCTCACAACCGAAACCAGACAAAGAACAAGAGCAAATCGAAGACAAAGAGATTGATCGTAAGAGTTTGAACAATCTGATGAGATACGAGGAGAAGCCAAATGGAGAAGCTAATGTTAACAACGACAAGAGCTCTCTAGATCAACATTTCGGTGATGACGAGGGGATCAAGCAGACGATGCAATTGGTGGTGAAGAAAGAGAAGCAAGGTGGTGTGAAATTCAAAGGTATGATGGGTCGATATGTTAAGGTTTGGAGCGGTTTGATAAAGGCCAAGCGTGACCGCAAAACGCCGGTCTTACGGTTTAAAACTTGATTTCGATCGTATATACGTATGTTTCATGTACGTGATCATATATACATATATTACGTACGATTAGTTATTAGATATATTTTGCGTATACGTACGTATTATAGATGTGCACGTCTGTGTTGTTAATTGGCATATTGGTTTTGACTTTTGAGATTGTAATTAGAACTATATGCAAATGCCCTCTTGTTATTTTGTTAAGAATCTCAGAGCATCTCCAATGGGGGAGCTCTCTCCATGAGCTCTCTCAAAATTTTTATTATAAATTTTGAGAAAATGTTAAATGAGAACTTTTGTTTTCTTTTTTAATTTTTCTGTGTCTAATGATAGGTTCTCTTATGGTGTTCTTACGAAATTTTTTTTTTTTTAAATTGTATATCATAAAAATTAATAATTATTGCAATTCATAAAATATTAAGCATACATTATTTTCAAATATTTTTTAAAAAAGTGAAAAAACCGGAATAACGATTAGTTGTACAGTTGACCGTTGCGATATTTTTGCCATATATGCTCAACCAAATCAGCTTTCAATTGTTGATGCAAACCACGATCACGAATTTGATTTCGAATGCCCATCATATTCCCGAGATTTGTAGGCATCTCTGTAGAATACGCTAAATCGAATGTTCCCTATGGGCTCTCTCCAATTATTTAATATAAATTTTGGAGATTTGTTAGATGAAAACTTGTATTTTTTTTTATTTTTTTTTTCATAGTCCAAGGTAGTATTTCAAGTGGGGTTCTTAGAATTTTTTTTTTAAAAATTATAAGATTTCATAAAACTTAATAATTATTAGAACTCATAAAATATTAAACATTTGGAGAGCTTTTGATTCGATTAAATTTGGATAAAATTTGGTTCGGTTTTCTCCTATTCAAATCTAGTGGGCTGGCTGGATCGACCCAAATGCCTTTTATTTTATCAAATATGTTGGGCTAAGCACATAAAATAGTGTATGGGCCATTAATTCTTTAATTCTTTGGTTTGTAAAACGTTACGTTTCCTTAGCATCATTCTTCAACCTCTCCAAACCCTAGTTTTATTTGACGACGGCTAGCTTAAGATTTGAAGACAGATTTCTTTGGTTTTTTGTTTCTTCTGTTAAATTTAATCAACCAATCAGAGCTTGGCACGTGTGCGGCTCTCTCACAATCCCAAATCTCTCTTAAGAGAGACGACTCTCATGATAATTAGCTGTTTTGAATTATTTTTAATTACCTTAATCAAGAGAACCTAACTAAATAATCAAGAGAACCTCCCATTGGAGGTGCTTTCAGTGCGTGAGTTTTGTTGTGTTTTGAGCTTTTGCCAAAAACATTCTACTAGTCTTTTCGATCTTTGCCAACTAGTTACGGTTGTAGGAGAACTTGAGGTTTATGAACAATTTAACTGACGCTGTCTGCTACGACCTATCCTCATTTCTGTCTTTAAAATAGTTGCAGGGTTAATTAATTGCCAAATTGTTTAAAACAGTTTATAAATAAGTACAATCTTAATTATCAGTCAATCAAATGTAATTTTTTGTTTTATTTTATAAGTAACCTTCTACTATCATACAATACATATATTTCTGTTTTCTTTCTTTTTTTAAAAAATATTATTAATAATTTAACATTCCAATGGGTTTGGTCTGAGGCCTACAACCAAGATAGATCCAGTTACAAAATAGCAAAATGGCATCTCACCGGAAAAAGAAGAAAAGTTCGACTCATGTTGATCATCGCCAGAAGAGTGACCAGAACTTTATTTCCGGTAGACTCAAGACCCACTGCTTCGTGGTAGCCTCTGAAGATCAAAAATTATTGACGAAAAATTCCGATTTTCATTAGCAATCCCTTTCCTCCGACGCACCAATCCGCCACAAGTCTCCCAGAAAACTAGTCACTTTGACGGTGTCAAATTCCGACCTAGCAATCCGACATGCTTAGAGTTATCAACTATAATATATACTCCCTCTGTTTTTAAATATAAGGATATTTAAGTTAAAAGCACACACTTTAAGAAATATATTTTTTAAAAAAAACAGTTATTTAATATTTAATTTTAAAAAATTCAACCAATGATATTAAAGACTGCAAAATATAAATTGTCATAAAATATCAAATGTATTTAAGAGCTGCATAGAAAATTGTAAAACAACCTCTAATTTAAAACAAAAAAAAAAATCCCTAAAACATATTATATTTTGAAACAGAGGAAACATTATTTTTTTTAATTAAAACAACATCCATTATTTGTCTGAACTAAATAATGGGTGTTGTTTTAATTATAAAGAAAAAAATATATAGTATAGTTGACAAAATACCAAACTTCTGAATCACCAAAAAAAAAAATACCAAACTTCTGAATTTCAATACTTAACATGATGAAAGTATACTTAACGTCATTGTTTGTTGCTCTTACAATAACGATAGCCTAAAATCTTTATAGGTGAAAATTTTCCTGCTCTTTGTTTAAGCAAAATATATTCGGGCTTATTGAGCTTTATTGTGTGCATAATAGTAGCTAATTGTTTTTTCAATCATATACTGAGAGCAGATTGAGCAGTATATAGTATTTTGGAAGAATAACTGACAAAGTATGAGGCCACCTCTGATGCAAGGAAAGGTCGGTATTACGTGGCAGATTATCATTGGGTGTCTTTTACCAATAAGATTGGAGATGCATGGCCTCACCGACCCTGTTAAGTAACCTTGTGGCACCGTCGAAAAGCAAGAATCTTTAATTAAAGTGTCAAGTCAGCTCTTTTTCCATTTACTTTATTTCGCCTACCAAACATTATTATACTACACAAATAATACGCAAAGTATAATTAGGACTTATATAACAAATGTTTGACAAATTTTAAGCTTGAATCCAGTTATGATTAAGTACTTAAATATCAAACTATATTACAAAAATACCAAAATTTGTTGCTCATTCATATCTCGTTGTTAGTTTGATTTGGTTATGTCGGATAGTTCATTTGACACTCGGTTGGATACAGTAATAAGTATTAGATAGTCTATTGTATAAAAATAAATTTCTACTATATAAACAAACGTATTTAATTACATTCTTGTAGAATCCAAAGCAAACATTAATTATTTCATTTCCCTACATAAAACCAACCTCATCCTCAACATCTTCATCAAAACTTAAACATCAAGAAGTCTCTCTACAAAAAAAATTCTCATATCTAAAGAAAACTCTCAATAGAAAACAAATAAACAACAATCAAGAATCTAAATGGGAAGAGATCAAGAAGGAAGCCCTCCAGTTCCCTTACATCTCTGCGTCTTCGTCCTGATCCTATTAATGTTCGTAACGATCTCATGGTACGCGAGCTACGAACCAGTCATAGAAGGATTTACGGATCAGTTCAAGCTCGCTCTCATGGCTTCTCCTCTGCTTTTGCTCTTGGCCGTCCATTTTCTATCCAACGATAGAGGAGTAGGAGGGATGATGACGTCTTTGATCCATCTGAACGAAAGAGAGTCTTTGTATAGAGCTGGAGGAACACCATGGGGAGTCGCCTTCATGCTTGTCTTTCTCTTCTTCATGGTTTCTTATCAATCTCAATTTCAAGAACGTTGGTTTCCTCTTCGACAATGAAACGACATCATTTTTTGGTTCTTCTACTATTCTTGACTTTCTCTTTGGGTTTAGTATAATGAATTCATGGTGTATGTTGATTGATTTTTTTTTTTTTTTTTGGTTTCATTCACCAATCATACCATTTGATGTAATCTTTAATCTCTTTTCTCGTGGTATATAATACTTTATCATATATTATGACAAGAGCAAAAGATTACTATGTTTTGTTTTTTTTTTGGTATATGCACCAAATAACCAGTGTTAAAAAAAGTGTAAACAGACGGTAATCCTTTGTATAACACCTAAGGCGTCTAATTTCAACGACTTTAAACAGTATAAACTGTTTTACTGTTTTAAAATAAAATAAGATATTTTTATATTTATTTAGAATAATACTTTGTTCACGCCTAAAGACTAATCGGTCAATAAATATTATTCTGATGAAAGAATTAATCATCCCACCCCAACTGGTATAACCCGGGACCAAGGTACTAGACCACAACTCAGTTGGTGTTTAAGCATATTGATATTTTTCTCGGTACATACTTAAAATATTGAATTTTCATGTTATGTTCAAGCAACAATATTTTTCTATAAAAAATATGTATGACACTATGACGTATCCTTTCATTTGATCGGATAAGGTCTAACGATATATGTCCGTTACTTCCACGTCTCTGCCTCTGGTCAAAAACGCAAGGCGCTCTCTTTCTCTATAAATTCTATTAACCTTTGGCATGAACCTAAAAATCTTCAATCTCAAATTCATCTTCATATTTTGACACATCCCCAATAAAGAAAAACACATTTTCTTTACCACGACCTATTAGTTTTTGTCTGATTAAAACTCTTGTAATCGATTATTTTTTATCTATTACAACAAATGGACGGAGGCTTAGGAACGATGTTGATGAAGGTGGCCTTATTTGCTCTGGTACAAGGTTTGGTGTATCTCATCCTCTCGAAATCGTCGAAGGTTTTCTCTACATCGAATTCGTTGAGAAAGGCTTACAGTTTCCGGCCGATGAGGTCCGTCAGCATCCGCCGGATTCTGGCGTCACTTCAGGATATTCCTGCTGGCGACGATATGTCTCCTTCATCTAACGGCTCTTCTTCTTCTCTTACTTCTCCTTCTTCGCAAGATGAGGCGGCAACAACAACTACATCACCATCTTAGGGATAGATATATACACAAACGGCATTATTGATTATTTATTTTATTTTATTTTAGATTGTTTCGTTAAATTGATGTAAGATTGATTATCTATATGTAGTCGTAGATATATATATATATATATATATGTATATTTGGTTTAGATGTTGAATAGTAGTATCGTATGTACAGTTCAAAAAGGTTTATTATAATCTTTGAGTAATCATTTTTTTTATTAAACTAAAATAATGGGTGATTTGCAAATATAGCACTTTTTCACTAAATAATTAACTAACTAACACCATAAATATGTAAAGGTAGTAAGTAACTTTCCGGGAGAGTAAAAAGACAATATTATCCTGGTGTTAAGCTGCTTTAGCCAGAGAGGAGAATGATGAGATGGTAGGAGAGAGAATTTCTCTTTAAAAATAAATTTCTTTACCACATTGTAATTGTAAATCATATTTTCTTATCTAAAAAATTGATTTCAAGTTCATGATATTTCTATTAAAAATCTGTATAATTTTCTTGATATATCATAACTTGAATTTTTAAAAACAGACAAAAAAATTCAGATGTGAATAGTGTTATCAATGGATACATAACGATCTATATAACACACATAGTATAAAATAGTATACTATATACTATTTACTCAAACCTTAAATAGTTCAGCTCTAAATAAAAAGTAGTAAACCTTAAATCAAATATTCAACCTTCAAATACTAATAAAATATGTGAATTCCTAATAAACAAATTATAAGAAATTTTGTTTGGTATATATATATGACACATAAATAAAATAGTATAAAACCAAATAAAGTAGTATGGAATAAGATTTAATAGGGTGGAGGTAATGGTAGTGGTGATACTGGTGACGACGGAGTTGACGCTGTTGGCGATGGTGATGGCAATGGTAGCGGCGGTGATAATGATGGTGGTGATGGCAGTGGCGGTGCTAATAATGGTGGCGATGGTGGTTGTCGTGAAGCTAGTAGTTGTGGTGGTGGTGATCATCGTTAGTGATAGTTGTAGTAGCGGTGGTGGTAGTCGTGGTTAGTGAATTTATGGTGGAGAAGTGAGGTGGTGAGTTCAGAATAATATAGAGATGAAGAAAAAGAATGGAAAACAAATAATTAAAAATTAAGTAGAAAAAAAAATGTATGTGTGATATATGTGGAAGGGTAAAATGGTATTATTATAGATAATACACCCTCATTTTTGTTTTAGGTTAGTTAGTGAATTTATAAATTTTTGTTGGTTATACACTCCAATTTCTCTAAAATAATTATCGATTGATGTTTTATTTGATGTTCTATATATATAAGTTTTACATGGAAAATAATCTCGTTATACATTGGATTTGAGAAAATAAAAACAAAATCTGATCAACCGTTTCTCTCCCAAAGCGATCAAGAAGGCGACTTTTTACAAAAACAACTTTTCATTATCTTCTCCGGCCGGCGTTGAGTCCAGCGTCGGCCGTACTTTCTTTTCTATTTTTGTTTCGTTTGTAGTTTTAAGTTTCTAAATAAAATCTCAATCAGAGACGTGTTTACTTGTGTGATTATCACCAAATCACCAATTACTATTGCTTGGCTTCTTCTCGCAGACGAAATGGCTTCATGTGGCAAAGTAAGAGATGGTTTTTCGGTGATGGGGTTGTCTGGTAGCGTAGGACATGGCGATCCGGATATGATGATGCCTTTGTTAACAAATCCATGGTTGGGTTTGTCTCAATTTTGGGTCTCCACATTGATAGCCGATGCCACTTCGATTCTCGCTCTCAGGGTTTTCTTTCCTCTTCACAGAGGCGTAATTGTCCGTGCGATGATGATATGGTTCATTCACGGTGTTTTTTTTGGGTATGCCCGACCTTCTCGGTTTGGTGACAATAGTTGCCGACGGCTTCTTAATGCAAATTTGCGGCCCTCGACGCATATGGAATCCCGGAATCACATCGGAGACATTTGTCGTGAAGCTCTTCAACGACGTCTTTGGTTTGAGATGTATAATAAGATGGGATTACACTAGTACCAAGCCAAACTTTCTAATGTGCACTATGACACCGATACGGACTAATTGGTATCGGATTGTCGGGATTTCAAAACTTATTCTAGGAACAACGGGCTTTTTACATGTGATGTGGAGTTTCAAACAAAGAATGCCAATACGGCATACATATCACATTCGAGTAGGATGGCTTATGAAGAAGGAACATAACGTGTTTATCATGTTAGCGAGTAAGGCTTATCGAAAGGAAGCATCGTCAAATTCACTTTTTCACTTTCGTCATCTTCAATATATGGCACATAATTTTGCTTATGTAATAAATTGTTTTATGAAGTTTTGTAATGGTCTTGTACTTCTTGTAATACCAATTGCCTAATGAAAGTTTTTAGAAGGAAAAAAAAAATACATTGGATTTGAGAATTTTTAAATATAACATGTTACTTGTAAATATGATTAATATTGAAACATAATTTATTTATGTTATAAAATTTTCAATATATTAAAAAAAAATTGAAATTTCTATTTCAGAAGAAATAAAGAATGTTGACAAAAAAATAAAATAAAATAAAATAAAGAATAATAGTAAATTTATTAAATGTAATTTGTAAGTAAAAAATAGAAATGTGATGTGGAATAATTTTTCTGTAAGAAAATTATTAAATGGTATCTATCCCTTTTACTAGATCAAGATATATATAAAGAACATAATCTCATATATATATATATATATATATATATATATATAATATCAGTTTTTTTGGTGTAAAAAAAATTCAGATTTGATTCCACATGTTTTTGTTGTTCTCATCCTCACATTCATAAATAATGTATGTTGATATTTTACCAAAGCTTCATACTTCTGTTTACTATAAAATGCAAACCTCTTCACATTATTTCTTACAAGTTAATTCCAATACCAAGAGCTCTATTTGTTCTCTCTTAGTTCTTTCGCTTAATTAGTCATCAGAAAAAAAAAAATGAAGAGCTCTATGCAGTTAATCTCTACTCTCTTCTTCCTAGTCATACTTGTTGTCGCACCAGGTATACAAATCCTAAACAAATCTACCAAAATATACGTTATATACTTATACTTCTTCCTAGTTATTTTTTTTTAATCATAAGTCATTATTTATGACAAACTTATTCATTAACTTTATGGGTATAAACTTGAATTCTTATTGGATAAAAAATCTATGATCTTATAGGTATGAAGATGGTTGTTGAAGGACAACCACAACTGTGCGAAACGAAAAGCTTAAACTATAGGGGGTTGTGCATGAAATGGAGGAATTGCAAGCGAGTATGTATTAGCGAAGGTTTCCCTGATGGTCGATGCAAGGGATTCTTCAACAACAAATGTGTTTGCAGGAAGCCTTGTGCTCTTTCTACCTAAAACTATATACAATAATATTATTATGAATAAGGCATTAATAAGATATCTACTTTTATGTGAGTTAATAAAAGAGCAGAGTACAAAGTCATGTATCTCAAAACTCTTAATATACAATAATATAAGGATTATACATTTATACTTAGCTTTGTTTAATATGGCAAGTGAATTTGTTGTTGTTATCAAATTTCAGATATAAAAATTCTGAATATATAGATAAGTGTTTTTAGCTTATATTTGATTTTTTTTGTGCCATAAATAAGAAAAGTAATTGGACTGAAAAGGTTCTGAGTTCCTGTACAGTGGTGTACTAGTGTCTGTTACGTATACAGAGAAGAAACATTTTGAGACACACTTCAGTCTTCTTGTTTGCAAAAAAGTTTGTCACAGAGTTGGGACCAGCGGATAGATTCTTACTATCTATAAAACTCAAACGTTCCTTGTAGTGAATTTTCAGGAACTTCACCAACCTGTAAAGAGAAATATAACGCGATGGGTCACGTAAAACACTAAACGGACCAATGCATCAAAGACTCTGCTACCGCCGATATCAAGTGTCAAAACCCTTTGAATCGAAACAAAGATTAAAAGACTATACAATTTGTTCGAGAAAGCGAAGTATTCTAATTTTTATGAGTTACATAACAAATCAGATATTTTGTTGGTTTAATGCTTATCTAATTGCTAGTTATGTTTAAACATTAACTGATTGCAGGTTCTCGTTAATCATAAACAATGGCTTTAAGAACTTACGTTCAGTGGAGCTTAGCCACCAATGTGTATCATTGGTCTATTAGCTGTTTTGGCAATGTCAAGCATTCCAGCGTGTGCGGCTTTCTTCCTCTTCACCTGAAACCCATTGTGAATTTTATTAAGTCTCAAACACAAAGGAGGAAATATTTCGTGACGGTTGGTAAAATCAGATGAAGCAACTAAATACGTACAGCAGCGCCTATAATTTCCCTGAGTGCCTCGTCATCAGCACCAGACCGGAGAGGATCTCTCAAACTAACCTGTTTACAAGAAAATCATCGCACGAAACAAAATGAACGTCACTTTAAAAATTATTGAGAAGCAACCATGAATCCTCAAGTTCACCGGTAATAAAGTTATTGCACACTTGTAGATGTTTTCGGTCACTTGAATCAAACACTGACTTTCAGCCACGAAAAAGTTTGGAAATTTAAGTTACCTCTGAAGGACCAAACAAGCAAACTTTGAAGTTCCCATCTGCAAGAAGTCTTAATCTATTGCAGCCAGAACAGAAGTGTTCTGTCATGGATGTGATGAAAGAAACAGAACCGCAATGCCCATCGATCGTAAAGTTCTTAGCTGTTTCAGTCGGGTGATCTTGCATACGTTTTATACTCGGAAAGCGCTTGACCTGTTACCATAACAACTGTAACCAATCATGAAAATGCTCAAGGAAAGGTTGACTAATCTCAAAAGGGCCAAACACTGAGAGAATTCTACCTTACCACTTTATCCATCACTTCTGCATAAGGCACAAGTTTCTTCACGTTCCAAACATTTCCATCAAATGGCATAAACTCGATGAACCGAACATTGATTGGCTTCTCGCGTGTCAACTCCACAAAATCACAAATCTCATCATCATTCAATCCCCTCATGACAACACAATTGACCTGTCAAGACCACAGACAATATGCAAAAACTATCGAGCATCAAATATCATTCTGCTGCAATCAAACAGAAAACATGAGGAGGGATTAATTATAAACATACTTTCACAGGATTGTATCCAAGCTCAATAGCAGTATCAATCGATTTCATAACCCTATCGTGCCCTTTACGCCTAGTCAGAAACTCAAACTTTGCTGGGACCAAAGTATCCAAGCTAATATTTAGCGAATCAAGCCCGCATTCTTGAAGCTTAGGTAGCTTTTTCGCAAGAGTGATACCGTTGGTAGTAATAGCCAGATTCTTCAACCCTTTTAAACTAGACAACTGGAGACAAATCTCTTCGATATCATTCCTAATGGTAGGCTCACCACCGGTCAACCGAATCTTGTTAACCCCAGCAGAAACAAAAAGACCAGCCAACCTAACAATCTCAGACTGTGACAACAACTGGGGCTTAGGAGTAAGCTCCACACCTTCAGAAGGCATACAATACTGACACCGGAGGTTACACCGCTCTGTCAAAGATATTCTCAAGTAGGTATGTAACCGACCAAAAGAATCAATCAACATGTCAGAGACAGGACTGTCTTTGGTCTGATCAACTTGATGAGCTGCATAACTAGTGCTAAATGAACGCTCACTAGTAGTAGTAATGGTTCTTGTAACTGAACCTGACCCAACTTCAGAACCAACCTGTTAAACAGTCCCAAAATGGTAAGCATTGAGAATCACATCAGCACACATATATAATTATTCACTAGTAAAACTCGTATCAACATTTATCAGCTCTTAAATCCTTAAATCAATTCGAAAAAGCAACAAACTTGAGTGGAGAAATCGAAACCCATTGTAGCAGAGTGAAATAGGGAAAAGTTGGGAAATTTACCAAGAAGAAGTTGGAATTCTTGAAACCCAAGTAGCAATCAGTAATTTTGGAGAAGCACCTCCTCATCGTTAACAACAAGATCGAATGAGAATTTCTGAGAAAGGAGGAAGATAGAAATCTAATCAAAGTGAGAGAAAGAAATGACCTTTGGTAAACGGAGAGAGTATTTGTTCAAAATAAAACAACTAAAGACAAAGTGAAGACGGCTCTTATTAGTTTGGCTAAAAGCCTAAGCAAATAACATGAAACTCTTTCGTCTTTTCTCAACATATCTGTCGGTCTCGCCGGTGACCCGTTACCGGCAATCAAACCGACTTTAATTGGATAATTTTACTGGTCCGAGTCATAGATGTGAAATTCAGATTGCATCTGGATCGGATATGTTATTATAGTGGATTTTTAAATTATTTAGTAACTGTGATTACATAATTCACATATACTACTACTACGTAGCGTTACTACTACATTATTAAAATAAAATAAATATTTAAAATTTAAAATCTGCTAATCATGTAACAAACACACATGTGAATCCAACATAATAAATAATTTGATTTTTGGTTTTCTCGACTGACAAGTAACAAATGTCACACTAAGTTGATTTATTCTCACATTTGTTCTAATTTTTTTTTTTTTGATAAAAACTAAATTTTTTATTTCTTCTCTGTTGTATATTGATATCATGATACTCCCTCCGTTCTTTTATAAATGATGTTTTAGAAGAATGCACATAGATTAAGTGATGTTTATTTCTAAACTAAAATATCATTTATTTATTATCTAATCAACCAATAAAAAAACAATCTCTTTATTAAATATATATATGAAATATTAGGCATTGGATAATAGATGCCATAAATAAAATTGGCTGTAACGACAAAATAATTTCATCATTATTGATTATATTTGTGGTTATAATAATTTTTTATTATTAAATAATGATAATATATTAAATTACAGATGTAGAGATGGTTGAAGGACAACAAATGTGTGAAGCAAAGAGCATGAACTGGAAGGGTATGTGTATGAAGTGGAGGAAATGTCGCCAAGTATGCATTAGCCAAGGTTTCACTGACGGTCGTTGCAAAGGATTCACCCGCAACTGCATTTGTATCAAACTTTGTTTTGTCCCTTCTAATTAAAGTTTTTATTTTGATATTAAATTTTAAAATAATAACACAATTCATTAAAAAGATTATGGTTTTCTGATTATGTAAGTTGATAAGAAAAAAACCTCAATTTTAAGCAATGGTTTTCTAAGTTTGTCTTCCATGTACTACAATGTATTATTTTTCAATATATGGAACACCTTACATGTCTTCCGATTATATATAGTTCCCATTTTTAATCGATGAGGATAAAAGGAACCGTATATATATATATATATATATTTATCATTTTTCGATTTTATATTAGTATTAAACTAAATTATATATGTTGGTGAAAAAACATTTGATCGTTAAATCAGAAATAGACATTAGGAGAAGGACCTCGCATCTTATAAAGAAGATTAAAGCATAAGAACATTGGAATAAGGGAGGTTGTGGTAATGTGGTGGACATTCCTGATTGAGAAGACTCACCAACACATAATTATTTAGTAACAAAGACATTGGCGCCTGTCTTGTTCCCGTTGCTTTTCCCCATCTTTATCTCCAAATCTCTCTCTCTCTCTCTCTTGTTCTACTACTTTGGGGAAGATGATAGCTTCTTCTTCTTCTTCCTCCATCGCTTGTTCTTGATTCTACTTGAAGCCGTCGTAGCTTTTGGTCCTCCGCTTCTCTTTTCAGGTGATTGGTCATTGATCTCTGGGTTTTTGATTTCGCAAGCTTTTGGGTTTTGCTTTTCCTTTTTTTATCTGCCTTACTAATCCGAATCTGATTCAAAGTTTACAACTTTAACTTGGGTTTTTCTCACTGAACTCTTATGAGTGAGACATAGATTCGTCTTCTAGGTCTGTTTCGGAGTGAGTTACTTAAAAAATTAGTATCATTTTTCGATTTTTCTTCTTATAATCTAGTTGATTTTCCATCGTAGTCGATACTTCCAAAGCTGAAGCCTTTGTTACTTATAGAATAAGGATTGTCTTGTGTCTCGCTATAGATTATCGAAGATAGTTGTGAATGAAGATTCTGGGTAATTAGGTTTCGTGATAAAGTTTTGTGCTTTACACATCTTCTGCTACTTTTTGAGTATGGCCTAACTAAAAAAGTAACTTTTAGCATTTCTTTTTGATGATATCGATTTTATAGGAGTGAATCTCATCTTGCTTCGGAGTGAAACAAATCATCTTCCTTTTTTGTCGGATTGCTATTTGATTGCAATCTCTTTCAAGAGCTTATGATTTGCTCTTTTTCAGTTCATATTTAGTTCTCAAAGATTGTTGTTAATGGTGGTGTAAAAGCTCTTTTATTTGCTTCTTTGTTTAGTTTATTTTTAGTAGGATTTAGAATATCATGGCTCAAAGGAGAGGACCTGATCCGCCTCCGCCCCAGAGGCGGATTCTGCGGACTCAAACTGCTGGTAATCTCGGAGAGGCTATGTTAGACAGTGAAGTGGTGCCATCGTCTCTTGTGGAGATTGCTCCTATCCTTCGTGTAGCTAATGAAGTAGAAGCTAGTAACCCGCGTGTTGCTTACTTATGTGAGTTCAAATAATGAAAAAAATTGCCTCATGATGTGATTTGGTCATCTTAAATGATCTTGAAAAAAAATCGTCATGGATGCTTCTATCAGGTCGGTTTTATGCGTTTGAGAAGGCACACAGGCTTGATCCCACATCAAGTGGACGAGGTGTTCGCCAGTTTAAGACCGCGCTTCTTCAACGGTTAGAACGGGTGAATATCATTACTTCATTTACTCTGCTTGAGTTTTCATCTTCACGCCGTTGTCTTGCTGGGGGATTATGTATCATTTTGCTTTATGTCTTAAACTCTTGCAGGAGAATGAAACAACTCTTGCAGGAAGGCAGAAGAGTGATGCACGCGAAATGCAAAGTTTCTATCAACACTACTACAAGAAATACATCCAAGCTCTGCTAAACGCCGCTGACAAAGCTGACCGGTTTGTTGAGATCCCTGTCTTATCTCTATAGCAATCTGTCTTTCGGTGTTTCTCCTTTATAATACAAAGTTATTTTACTTGTAGTGCTCAACTTACAAAGGCATATCAAACTGCTGCTGTTCTCTTTGAAGTCTTAAAAGCTGTTAATCAGACAGAAGATGTGGAAGTCGCTGATGAGGTGAAGCTGATTGTAGATTATATCTTGTAGTATTTAAGTCTCTTACTTCTGATCTCATCCCATGGTTTCGTGAAACTTTTGATATACTCATGAACCGGGTTACTGAATTATTGGCTCACTAGGTTCTGTTCATCCTTTTTCTTGCTGGTAGATTCTGGAGGCGCACACAAAGGTGGAAGAAAAAAGCCAAATCTATGTTCCTTACAACATTCTTCCCCTTGATCCTGATAGTCAAAATCAGGCTATAATGAGATTTCCTGAGGTTAACCAAACATTCCATTTACTGTTTCAATTTTATGTTTACTTGTCTTTTGAGACAGGAAATAAATATCTGCATACTGTTCTGCAGATACAAGCTACAGTAATCGCCCTTCGTAACACTAGGGGTTTACCATGGCCAGCTGGTCACAAGAAGAAACTCGATGAAGACATGCTAGACTGGCTTCAAACTATGTTTGGTTTCCAGGTGATGCTAGCAAATATCCTGTTTTGATTTACTTGATTGAGATATTCTCCATGTGCTGATTGTAACCCAATCCTTTAAAATGGCAGAAAGATAATGTTTCAAATCAGAGAGAGCACTTGATTTTGTTACTTGCTAATGTCCACATTCGACAGTTTCCGAGACCTGAACAACAACCAAGGGTATGTATTATTTTTAACTTGGATATGATGTTTTCTTGCTCGTCTAGTCCTCTGTATCTGCACTAACGGCCTAAATTACAATTTCTTCCTTTAGCTGGATGATCGCGCATTGACTATAGTGATGAAGAAACTTTTTAAAAACTACAAAAAGTGGTGCATGTATTTGGGTCGGAAGAGCAGCCTTTGGTGAGGCACCTCCTTGTAACACCTCATTTTGAGACTTTATTTGTTCTTTTTTAGGAATATAGAAACAGATGTAGTACATACGTTGGATATTATACCCCTCGTGCTTAGTTATCTCTCGTTTTCCCGCTTTTAGGTTGCCGACGATTCAACAAGAGGTTCAGCAGCGGAAACTTCTCTATATGGGACTTTATCTTTTAATATGGGGAGAAGCTGCAAACCTGAGATTTTTGCCAGAATGCCTTTGCTATATATATCACCATGTATGTGAAAAAATCAGTCTTCCCTATCTATCTTATGTAACTATATGGTGTATCCTTCTCTATAAATATCAGTTCAATTTAGAGAAGGGCACTGTGTGATCAAATAGTGATCTTGGCTAATACCTACTAATCGACTAGTAAAATTTGAAGAACTCCAAACATTTTATACAGTGATGAGGCAATAAACCAGTGCAAGGACTTAGTAATGCTTATTTCTATTTAGAGTAGGAGTATTTTGCTACTTGTGTCTAACTCCGAGTTTAATTTGATTTTCCGAATTTGTTCAGATGGCTTTTGAGTTATATGGGATGTTGGCTGGGAGTGTTAGTCCAATGACAGGGGAGCATATTAAACCGGCATATGGTGGTGAAGAAGAAGCTTTCCTGCAAAAAGTAGTAACTCCTATATACAAGACAATAGCAAAGGTTGGTTGCTTCAGTTTTTCAGTCTTGATAATTTTGTCTTCTTTAGCTTTCCTCCGATCCAATTCCTCAATTTTTTTATCTTCGTATTGGTGTACAATAGGAAGCAAAGAGAAGTAGAGGAGGAAAATCGAAGCATTCTGAGTGGAGAAACTATGACGACTTGAATGAATACTTTTGGTACAATGTAGTTGATCATCTTGTAACATACTGGAAATACCCGTCTTTTACATTTCTTCATGATGGATCTCCATGTCATTAACTTGTAGGTCTGTTCGGTGCTTTCGGTTAGGGTGGCCTATGCGAGCTGATGCTGATTTCTTTTGTCAGACAGCCGAAGAACTTCGACTTGACAGAAGTGAGGTATGTGTAGAAGAAACTAATTGATGGTCGTTTTTTTACAAAACTGTTTGCCACTTCATGTCTTATGGAACATAAATTTGTTAAGTAAGTGTTTAATATCAAACTAAAGTTCGATCAACTAGCTTAAACTGTTCATAATGTCTGTTAAAGGAACATACAACTTTTTGAACTTCAAATTGTAATTTAACAAGTCATGATAAACGTTAGACAGAAGTGTTCCATTTACTTTCCTAAAGTTTTGTGTATCTAGAATTTCATGGTTGATGTTCACAATGCTGCAGAATAAACCAAAAACTGGAGATCGATGGATGGGCAAAGTCAATTTTGTTGAGATACGTTCCTTCTGGCATATATTTAGAAGTTTCGATAGAATGTGGAGTTTCTATATCCTATGTTTGCAGGTATGGCTAGTTTTTTTTAAAGTCATTTCCAAACTTGTATTTTCTTGACCTGTCATGTAATTTGATGTATTTATTATATCTTTTTAAGGCAATGATTATAATTGCTTGGAATGGATCTGGGGATTTGAGCGGCATCTTTCAAGGTGATGTCTTCCTAAAGGTTTTGAGCATCTTCATTACGGCAGCTATATTAAAGCTTGCACAAGGTGATGATTCGTCAACTTACATGCAGTTATTTATTTTTTCATCTCATTCATAGCTATGTACCTTATACATCTATTTCTTGCTTTGCTCTTTGCATTGATTATTTTTAAACCACTTTAATATTTATGTAAGAAAATATTGTGTCCCTATCATAAAAGTCCTAATACCTTCGGCCTATGCAGAGATGGAACACATTTTCCACATGTTGTCTTCTCTCCATAACATGTTGAATTTTTATGAAGAGTTGATGTGAAATGAGTAGGAATAACTGTTGTACACTTCTCTATAATTTCACAATTTATGATGTTTGCCTGCAGTCTTATTTGTCACGAAGAATTATTTGTTGTGTGGTTTCTTCCAATTATGTCTTCATGTTGTAAGTGATGGGAAATCATTTCTTACCGTTCTCTGAATGTTTGCAA